GATAGCTAGATAGATAGATAGATAGATAGATAGATAGATAGATAGTTAGGACCATATTGAATCTGATGCCATTACTCCACATAATATTTCTTACTTTGTTCTCATCGACACAGCGACGTAAATTCATCATTGAGAGCAGCACCAGCAAAAAGAAGCACATCTTTCTGACTGAAAAGTCAAAAGTTGCCAAATACCTGTGCGACCTCTGCTCTGCACAGCACAAGTTTCACAAGGAGATGAGCTCCCGCCAGCTCACACGCAGCCTCGCTTCAGGTCAGTCACAGCCAACATTTTCATATATTCTTAGTTGGGCTTTACTATAGTTGAGCACAGTCAGCAGCCGTGTGCATATGTCTGTAGAGGAGAGTATGGTGCAGTATGCAGCCGCGTGCAGGACTCAAAACGACGAGCACAACGGCGGACGCCTCGACGCCTCCATGAGCAGGTTCTGTGAGGACGTCGCTTCCCGCATTGAAGTAAAGATCAAACAACAAAGAGACTTTCTAGACCACACAGGGTGAGAACAAATGGCACAGATCACACGTAGCCACTATAACCATGACCACGTCTGTCTGTCTCTCTGAAGGTGAAACAGGCAAAATACTTTTTTATTTTTCATGCACTTGTCAGTTTTGAGATTTTGGGCTATTTTGCTTCCATAACATGACTTCTTTTAGACTAGTGGAAAGAAAACATCCAAAATACACATTTAAATGATTATTTGAAGTGCTTCTGTGGATTTCGATTAAAATACATATCTTTAAAGGCCGTTTTCTCAAAATGAGTTTGTTTCTCCACTTCAGCAGCACTTTTATACACCAAATTTTACAGTTTTATTCCTGTCTATATTTTGAAGGTTTTACAGAGGGGTTTGTTGATATATCATCCACACTGAATTATATAAAATTTTATTACTACTATTTTTTTTCTGGATGTTGACATTATTTTATTTTATTTTATTTTTTATTTTTTTTATGTAATAACTTTTTTTTTTTTTTTCTTCTTCTTTTTGGGATGTTGAACCCAGTCAAAAATGACCACCCTATAAAAAATAACTTATAAATTTCTCGTTATGCTATATTATTGCCAAATATTGGATTCAGTCTTTTTATCGACTTGTTTTCTTTCAGTTTGAATTTCTTTTGTACTCTGATTCATCGTAGGCTTTAATGATCTGAGCTAATGCACCTCAGTTTTTGAGTGAACATTGCCAAAATTATCCACAAATAAGACTTTTTCATTTAAAAACTAAGGTTTAAGCTCAGATCAATGAGGCCTACTACCAATAAGCCCCAAAAAGAAATACAAAACCTGTGCTAATTGAAAGAAAACAAGTCGAGAAAAAGATTGAATCCAAGATTTGGTCATAATATCGCATCATTTTTTAAAAGGTCGTTCAATTTTGACCAAGAACACAGAATCAGGTAAAGCATTTTCATCACAGCACATGGGTCAATTAGATAAAGCCTTATTTGTATATTTTTAGACATAACATTTCAGAAAATATGTAATACACTGTTGATTATTCAATTGGGCAAAGTATGATATCTATTCGTTAAAATTTGTAATTATTCACCTATAATGTCTGTTTGTTTCACTTCTAGATCTCAAAGTCCAGCGTTTCAGAGAAGCTCTTGTAGCTCTCCAAAGCGTTGCTATGAAGTCCCTTCAATGTCCTCACCATTAAGAGGTATGGACTGACAATCAGCCCATAATATGAACCTCTTTACACAGTTTAATTGGGAAACAGCACAATGCAATGTGTCCTTTTCTCATAGATACTCCAACAAGTGTACGATCTCCAGAGAGGGAAATAATCTGCGTTTCCCTTAAAAAAGATCCCAAAGTTGGCCTTGGTAAATGGATTCTGGATATGGACTCGATGTAACTAACTGTTATGCAGAATAGTAATTCACTCTTTATTCATTTCGGCTCTAGGTATTGTAATTGTCGGAGAAGACAATGCTGGGAAACTGGACCTCGGGATCTTCATCGCATCCATAGTACCTGGAGGCCCAGCTGACCGAGATGGACGCATCAAACCAGGTGAATCCTCACGATCATCAGATTATCTGCACTGATAATGTCCAGTCATGATCTCAGAAGCCTCTGTGTGAACATCAGTGAAGCTGAGCTCCGTGTTTCTGTCAGGTGGTCGACTGATCTCTCTGAACCAGCTCAGTCTGGAGGGCGTGTCCTTCAGCGAGGCCGCTGACATCATGCAGAGCAGCTCCAGTGAGGTGGAGCTCATCGTCTCACAGACAAAAGGTACCATCTTGCTTTATATATTCCACTGCACATGTGATATAACATCAGCACACTCTAAAAACAAATGTTTTGGGCTTTACCAGGGTTATTATAGTTAACTAAGGGTACGTTTACATGACAACGATGTACTGAAAACTGAAAACTGAAAAGTTTTTCCTTTGCATTTTTGAAAAGGCGATGTCACAATGATCCTTGTTCACACAGATCAGCGAAAACAACTAAAAACGCTGTATTAAGCATGCCAGGCCAGTAGTTGGCGATGCCATTTTGTTAAAGGGGACATGGGATGCCCATTTTCCACAAGTTGGTGTGATTCTTTAGGGTCTTCATGAAATGTCTGCAACATACTTTGGTTAAAATTCCTCAATGGTCGTGTAAAACAACACCCTTTTTACCTTGTCTCTGTTCACAGTG